ATTGTTAATGTATTGTTTATTGCAATTTTAATTTTACAACAAAGTGAAATTATCTAGAAATATGCATTAATTTATATCTCTTCTGATGATATCATTACCATTCTTTTTCTTCTTTTTTTTGTAATGTAATTACAGCCAAATATCCAAAACCAAGTACTGCACAGCGGCGATATTTAGGCGTTACTATGCTGACCCTGACAAAGTCCATTCTGCAAGAGCTGCAGTCTAGAGGTGGTCCCATGTCGAGTATTCCATCAGACATCGCACAAGGGGTCTTCATATGGAAAGTTGTTGTGGGCTCTCCAGCATATCAGTAAGTATCCTTTTTCCTTTGGCAGTTGAAATCATACTTCTTAGTGAAGGAGTCTATATGAAGTTGTGATGAAAAGGAAAGTTTGTTCAGATGTATTTATAAAGAAAATACTTTGTTAATACAAAGGTAGCAAAAATCCCAGTGTACAAAAAATAGATTTATCGACAGACGAGGCAACAGGCTCATTATCCTCCTTGATGTCTGAGAAGGGTGGGGAGTAAGAGGTGTGTGTGTGTGTACTCTACCTTCCTCTCCTTCCCATTTCAGACCTGAAAATGAAATCTAGAAAGACGGAAACTTATCTCATCTTTCAGTAAACCTGCTTTGTGTATTGGAAGCTTTTGCAACCAAACATATTTATTTCGATTGCATTGTGTATCACACAGGTGGCCATGAGGTTGATGAATTGTAGTTACTGACCATTTCTCTTTTTTTCTTTCTTTCGTTCTTCTTTTAAACAGATCAGGGCTGATACCCGGGGACATCATTACCCATATCAACAATGATCCAGTGGCATCATCAAGAGATGTCTACAGAAGCCTGGAACAGAAAGGAGATTTGGTTATGGTGGTGGTACGCAACGGCCAACGCTATAAAGTCGTTGTTTCTCCAGAAGTGTAACAACCAGGGTCACGAGAGCTCAATGACAAGAAAGATTAGATGGCAAATGTTGTTAAGAAGCTTTATATTTTTTTTTTTTTCAGTATTGTACTTAGAAATAGTAACCGGTTTCTTTTTATAGAAAATTTAATGCCTTCAGAGTAAATGGAAAAAGGAAACAAAGTTTTATTGTAACGGACAAAAACAAATGACAGAAGTATTACTTAGAGTGCCACAGGAGTCAAAGTGCCTGATATGTATACTGTTCTTTAAAAGGAAGATACATCAAAAACTTTCATAATCGAGGAATGTGTTGCTCATTGTTTTGTGTCATGAGTAGAATCTATTTTTTAAGGAAATTCTAGCTGTGATAGTCTTCTGTAAGTTGTTTCAGATTTTGAATGATTATGTGATTGATTTTGGAGTTGTTTAACTACTGTTTAATTTGGTAAATTATGTATATTGGTTAGTGATAAACAACTGCTCAAGAAAATAAAAGCATATATATACAAGTTGTTTTCTTTTTACGCACCTTCATGTTTATACATGCTGAATAAGCTAAAGCACTACTCTAGTTCTCTCTCTCTCTCTCTCTCTCTCTCTCTCTCTCTCTCTCTCTCTCTCTCTCTCTCTCTCTCTCTCTTCTCTCTCTCTCTCTCTCTCTCTCACTCTTCACTCTCTCACTCTCACTCTCACTCTCTCTCTCTCTCTCTCTCTCTCTCTCTCTCTCTCTCTCTCTCTCTCTCTCTCTCTCTCTCTCTCTCTCTCTCTCTCTCTCTCTCTCTCTCTCTCTTACACTCACTCATTCTCTCTCTCTCTCTCTCTCTCACTCTCTCTCTTTCTCTCACTCTCTCTCTCTCTCTCACTCTTTCTTTCTTTCTCTCTCTCTCTCTCTCTCTCTCTCTCTCTCTCTCTCTCTCTCTCTCTCTCTCTCTCTCTCTCTCTCTCTCTCTCTCTCTCTCTCTCTCTCTCTCACTCTCACTCTCTATCATAATGCATCATGCAAGCTCACAGACCACGTGGTTCCTGGTTCCACGTGGGCGCTATCCCCCGCCTGTGTCCTGCATGGGTGATTCTAAGTATACATCCCAAGCCACGCCCCCGTCGTTTCCGCCCATCACTGGTCAGATACAACGCGACCCCACTTGACCTATCTCTCGCACTCGGAACTCCGTCTCTCTGTTTACCGCCAATCCCTTGCCAGTTGGTGTCGTTGTGGGGATTAGGAGACGGAGACTGAGACCCAGTGCAGGGATCTCCCTTGCCTTGGACCTCAGCCTTCGACTCGACTAATTTTACAAGGTATTTTCTCCCTGTAGCTCTTTCATTTCCGTCCCTTCAACCCCTTCTACTATCTACTTCCTAAGGTGTAGGAGCCGTGCTGAAAGGATGAAAGACGGACTTTGTGCCAGTACTGAACGGCCTGAGGGAACCATGGGCACGGTATTCTGTTTCGTTGTGTAGCCATTGCTCCTCAAAGGGACCCAAGGGGTGGACTGTTTATTTCCCCAACATAGCCAAGGCTCCCCATGCCCAGTAATGAAAAAATAATACCCATATTTTAGAGGGAATGAAGCTTGCCCCTTCATCAAATAGCCTCACCAATTCGAGCTCTCCAGGCTCTCCTTTGACCACGACTCTGAACACTACAACTACTACCCACTCCTCCTACTAGTGCAGTATCCACCCAAGTCGAGACTCCTACTCTCCAAACTTCATCAAAATTTAAATAAGCACCAAGTAGGTCTGCCCTGCTACTTCTAAATCTCTCTCTGCTTCATTTTCCGACCTTCTCTTCCTAAGCTCCAGCTAGCTTGTCCCACTGTCTCCTCTCTTTCCTATCCTGCTGAAAAAAAACTTCACCACCTCTCCCCCACAGCCTTCTTCACCAATCACCTCATCTTCCCTTATTACTACCTTACAGCCTCGTTCTCCATCTCTCCGTAATGCTACCCCCCTCAACAATACTCCCTCTTCCACACGTCCCCACAACTCATGCTCCCTCCACACTCGAAGTGACTGCCGATATCCATCCTCCTCCTACTCATATTCCCCCCTACACCCCTTCCTCCTACTCCCTCCCAACACAACTCATCTCCCTCAAGTCCGTCTACTGCCGATATCCATCCTCCTCCTACTCATATTCCCCCCCACATCACTTCCTCCTACTCCCTCCCAACACAACCCACCCCCCTCAACTCCAACTACACGCACATTCTCCCTCCCCTCCCTCCCCTCTATCCTTTCCACTCCCTCCTGGATAGACACGTGAAACCCTTATGTAATTTCCCTACCCGAGACCCACCATAACTCATTCACACATCAACTCCTTTACCCGTATCTTTATCCTTTCATGACAACTCTAGATAGTTGGCGCATAGCAGCTATCACCCTTCACCGCTCCACTATTTCCTTATAACTTCAATAATACCATTTAGATTCTCTCTCTCCCTCTCCCTCTTCCTCCCCTACCTCTCTTTCTTTCTCTCTCTCTCTCTCTCTCTCTCTCTCTCTCTCTCTCTCTCTCTCTCTCTCTCTCTCTCTCTCTCTCTCTCTCTCTCTCTCTCTCTCTCTCTCTCTCTCTCTCTCTCTCTCTCTCTCTCTCTCTCTCCTCTCTCTCTCTCTCTCTCTCTCTCTCTCTCTCTCTCTCTCTCTCTCTCTCTCTCTCTCTCTCTCTCTCTCTCTCTCTCTCTCTCTCTCTCTCTCTCTCTCTCTCAACATACACAATTGTCTGATACTCATGGTCCCAGGTCACGCACACTCCGAGATTCCAACGGTGTACGATGGCTCACTTGACCTCGCTCGACCGCAGAGCATAATTCAACGGGTCAAACTGCTGAGGAAATATTTCAATCAAAAGACCGCAGGAATAATAAATCCCTTGCCTTCTTTTTTTAACCTGGCAGCTTCCATCTTCCCCTCGCCTCTCGTTACTTTCCTGTAAATGGAGGCACCGGAAAGTAAATTGTTCATTTCATGTGCATAATCATTTTAGTCCATAGCATCGATACCCCCAACTCTGTCAGTCCGGGTGATGACGATGTTCTCTTGGTCGAGAAGGCCCCTCAGCGCAGTATTTGTGGGGGATCGACAACGGACAAGCAGCAAGCAGTAATCCCCAAGGTCTATATAAGTACAGGTCTCGTCACTTCGGAGTTCTGCGCAGCTTTGGGTGATAAGGCCTATGACGTCACCTGGAAGGAGCCGAGAGCAAGGGGGCGGGGGGAATTAGAGCATGGTAGGCAGGGACATAGATAATAGAAAATGGTAGTAAATGAGCAGATACTTGAGTAATTTCAGATGTCGGCACGTTGAACGATTTGCATATTGGACATGTTTTGCAGGCGATGATTATCAGCGATTGTTTGTAGGCCTATATCATATATTCTACGTGAATTTAGTTTTGTAATTCATATGTTGCAGCTTAGACATGGCATAATAAAGACGTAAAATAAATAAAAAAAAAGACATGGCATATGTAAACTCCAAATGTTTTTGATGAATTTATAAGTACTTATATAGACCTTGGTAATCCCCTCCATGCAACGTGTCACACAAGCACTTTTTCCATAATTTTTTTTGACAATCTTATTTAACATAAATACAAACATTCTCGAATATAGCTCTTGGTTTGACTTTGCTTGGCTGAAAAAGTTGACGGAAAGGTTTTCAGACGGAAACGATCATTATCGTCTGACTGGAAAATCGACAATTCGCTCAAAAATGGAGAAAATTTCAGAAAATTGTCAAAAAATGACGGAAAAAGTGCTAGTGTGACAGTACCTTAAGTCCTACTGTCCTGCCCGGTACCTTGAGTCCAAGGGGGAGAACCTCTTTTCTGTGAGTTAGGCTTCTAGAAGACATGTTTCTACGATTTAATCAAGATTTTGTTCATCTGCTCTTGCTACATATACGGTGTAATTTTGCCAAATCATTAGGTTATTAATATAATTAATTCTCGCATCCATTCATCAGATCTTAAAAGGATATACCTCTGCCTCCTAACACCTCTCCTGGCATGTGTGGCTTTATGACGTCACTGAAACAAGGAATCCGGATAGCGAACGGTTCCTACACGAACGCTCGCAGCAAAACAAAAATTGACTTCGAAGATACACACGATCTCGAAGGTAAATAATGAAAGCCTAAGGTAATTGAGAGAGAAAATAACAAACCTGATGTTATTTGACTTTGCGAAAGGTACGTGTCATACCACAAGGAATGTCATTGGCAGACAGTAGTGACAGAAGAGGAAAATGCCACGACGCAAATGAAGGAGAAATGGAAAATCGAAATTGCAAACCGGTGTAGATTATGATTTATGATATACAATGTCTATGTGACAGTCTTGGGAAAATATTATGGAGTTGAATGACACCCTCTGTGTCTGTGTAGAAAGTGCTGCTAGTGTCGAGGGTGGGGGTGGGGGTGGGGCTTCAAAATCCATCCATATCCACTTGAAACTTGCTGTGTGTTAGATCCAATCTAAATATCTGTCCAACACTTTATTGGAGCCTTGATAAGCTGTCTCCACGGCTTTACGCTTTGTGCTGGACCGCAAAGTATACTTAGTTTGCCAGATGGATGTACAATTATTTGTTAAATATGTTTATTCATCGAGGTTACTCCCCCTAATAACCATTTTTAAATCAGTACTCCTATTACTTGCGAAACTTCACTTCGTATTCTTCCACAGGGTGACTTGATGAACAGCACAACCCACGTGAGGCTGTTCCTTTGCGAGTTAGAGACGGAGGAAGACAAATTTTATTTAGGTGAAGAAGAAGTTGCGAGAGTCGACATCATTGGTACTGTGGTGTACATCAGCCAAAGGGAGCGAGTCATTACGTTTCAAAGTAATTATATGTTTTCTTTAGAGTAGAGAGATGAGACTGGTTTATACTTGGTATAAATCATTATTCCAGAAATGTAATACAGATTATGATTGCAGTGTGTTTTTATGGGTTGTTCTTTAGTGTTGACTGTCTTTAGATTTCATAATGGTGTAGTAGTTATTTGGCTATTTGATCCATCAAAAACAACTAAAAATGTATGAAAGTTAGTTGATACATTAGTGACATCAATAAGTAAATGACATGCATTAGAAAAAGAGGATTTGCTGTATTATTTATATCTGAATTTGGACTTTATTTCCAGTTGATGATGGAACAGGCATAATTAGTTGTGCAAAATTCACCAGCCCTGAGCCTGAAGGCGACTGCGATCGTCAGCATTCTCAACGAGAAAAAGGACTTAATCATGGCCTCAAAAACCTGCTGCTGAGTTTAGCCTCCCAAGAGAGCCCCTTAAAATTAGGGGACCTTGTTAATGTTCGTGGCCGCTTGAATATCTTCAGAGATCAACCTCAGATTATTGTGAACAGTTTACGTATCCTTTTGGTTTATGGTAGAATCTGCGATTGTGGTTGTACGAGGTTTGCTTTTCTGTGGAGTCGGAGGAGTCTTTAATTATGCTAAAAATTTCATTTGTAGGATTTGCTTAACTTTTGCAGTAATAGGTATTATGTTTTATTTGAAAAATGATGAAAGTATTTATCAATAAAGTTAAGAGTTTTCTATGTAGAAATTGTGATGTACAAAGAAGTGTATTCAGCAGTGATCATTTCCTTAACATTTGCTTCAGGTCATGTTCATGATGTTAATGAAGAGTGGTTTCGGGTATTAGAAATTAATGCACAAAGGAAGAGCAAAACAGCTTCCAGGAAAAGTGCTGAAGAATCTGTTATTCACAGTTCAGACAGACTGCATTGCTTCTTTCAGTCTGAGTAAATATTTATACAACACTTTGTACCAATTGCGAGTTGATCTCCTTACTGGCAAACTTACGAAATGGAATCTATGGATATCACAAATAAGGAGAGTATTCTAGGCATACGGCAGCGTGCTAGGGATGTTGACCATGCTGCACGCACAAAGAGGCGTAGCCTGGCACGGGATGCTCGTCGAGTGGATTTAGATGACATTGTCAAGAAGCTGCAGGTAAATTACTTATTTATGAATATAGATGTACGGATAGATAGATACATACACAAAGACACCCACATAAAGTGTATTCATTTTTAATAACACCTGATTTACAATATTTAAAGTGTGTTATATATATATATATATATATATATATATATATATATATATATATATATATATATATATATATATATATATATATATATATATATATATATGTATGTATGTGTATGTATGTATATATGTATGTATTCAAATATGTGTAAATGTGTGTGTGTGTGTGTGTGTGTGTATACAATTATTTAAAGTGTGTAAACATTTTTGGGACACCCTGTATATTTGTATTTATCTATCTATCTATCTTTATATATATAATATATGTATATATATATATATATATATATATATATATATATATATATATATTTGATTATCTTTGATCATCTTTTATATACTATATATT